CTATTTTTGAAAGGGGGGGGGGAAGAGAGAGAGAAAGACAGAGAATCCCAAGCAGGTTCAGAGCCCAGAGTCTAACACGGGGCTTGAACTCCTGAACCACAAGATCATGACCTAAGCCAAAATCAAGAATCAGATGCTTAACCTACTGAGCCACACAGGCACCCCAAGATTTTTTTTTTTAATTTTTGTTTTTGAGAGAGAGAGAGTGAGAGAAGGGGAGGGGCAGAGAGGGTGAGAGAGAATCCCAAGCAGGCTCCATGTTGTCAGCATAGAACCCAATGCAAGACTCAATTTCATGAACCACAAGATCATGACCTGAGCTGAAATCAAGAGTCAGACACTTAACCAACCAAGCCACCCAGACACCCCTAGAGATTTGTTTTAAAAATAACCAATTGACACAATGTCCCTTCCCTTACTTCCCTTTCAACCAACTCACAAACCATGATTTAGGATGTGAATGTCTTAATAAACACTATTCCATTCTAGTTCTTTTCATATATAAACATAAAATGCAGTGACCTTTTTTTTCCTCAAGACTATTTTATGCTAGCTTTAACAATTGTGGAAAATATATTTTCAAGCTGCTTTTTAAAATTCCTAAATGATCTGGAAATTATGACTTTCCATGTGAGTTTGAAATGTATTACTAGAGAGTTTGAAATATATTTCTGGTGGCCTCTAATTTATCTGACCCTGATAAAATTAAGGGGAAGGAAATGTTTACTATCCTATGTAATCTCTTGGAGCAACCCACAAAGCAACAAGATAATTTAAATTTTTTACTTTTTCTTTAAGAAAGATGTATTTAAGGACAAACAAGAGAGTAGGTCCCTTGATTGGATAGTTTTTCTAAGAAATTTGATTCACGTAATTAAATCAACATAAGTGCTTCTAAATTGTCAGCATGGGGCAACTGGGTGGCTCAGTCAGCTAAGCAGTTAAGCATCTAATTTCAGCTCAGATCATGATCTCGTGGTTCATAAGTTGAACCCCTTGTCGGGCTCTGTACTGACAGCTCAGAGCCTGGAGCCTGCTTCTAATTCTGTGTCTCCCTGTCTCTCTGCCCCTCCCCCATTCATGCTCTGTCTCACTCTCTCTCTCTCTCTCTCTGTCTCAAAAATAAATAAAATAAACATTAAAAAATTAAAATAAATAGTCAACAAACAAAATTAGTCTTGACTAAAATTGTTTAAATAATCTTAAGAATAACCTTACACATCATGATTTGAATATAAAATTGGGAAGTTGTTAGCACTCCACAAATAATCTGGAAGAAGAGAGTTGCTCTTTACTGATATGGGGAAGATTTCTGAAGGAACAAGTTTGGGATTACAGCAGAGATATAAGAACAGAGATAAGGAGTTTGGCTTGCAATCCATTAAGTTTTATTTATTTTTTTTTAAATTTATTTTTCAACGTTTATTTATTTTTGCGACAGAGAGAGACAGAGCATGAACGGGGGAGGGGCAGAGAGAGAGGGAGACACAGAATCGGAAACAGGCTCCAGGCTCTGAGCCATCAGCCCAGAGCCTGACGCGGGGCTCGAACTCACGGACCGCGAGATCGTGACCTGGCTGAAGTCGGACGCTTAACCGACTGCGCCACCCAGGCGCCCCAATCCATTAAGTTTTAAATGACTATTACCATTGAATAAGTAGTTTGGAGTTATGATATCTGGAATGGAGTTTCAAGTTCAGAATTATCACCTAATATGTAGTAATGAAAGCCTCTGTGAAAATGAGTGGAGAAAGAAAACAGATCCAAGGACTGAATTTGGGGGCACTATAGTATTTAGATCTAGGATACTGATGTGGAAAGTAACAACTGCAATGAGAAGGAAAGGAAGAAACCCAGGAGCATTTGGTACTGTGAATTCAAATAAGAACATGTTGTAGGAGAGGCACCTGGGTGATTCAGTCAGTTAAGTGTCCAACTCTTGATCTCAGCTTAGATCTTGCTCTCAGGGTCATGAGCTCAAGCCCCACATTGGGTGTGAAGCCTACTTTAAAAAATGAGTTTGAGGGAATATAGGTTAATAAATGTATTAATGAAGTGCTATGGAAAATTTCCTTAAATGAAGATCAGGAATTGTATTTAGCAATATAAAGGGTTATAATTACCTAGACAGTAGTGATTCTCATATAGCAGGGTAAGTGAAACCATGATTAGAGTTGGTAAATAAAAAAAAAAAAAAAAAAAAAAAAAAACAACTTAAAAGAAGTATTTAGAGCAATCATAACTTTAAAAAAATTTTTTTTAACATTTATTTATTTTTGAGACAGAGAAGAGCATGAACAGGGGAGGGTCAGAGAAAGAGGGAGACACAGAATCTGAAACAGGCTCCAGGCTCTGAGCTGTCAGCACAGAGCCCGTCGCCGAGCTCGAACCCACAGACCACGAGATTATGACCTGAGCCGAAGTCGGATGCTTAACCCTCTGAGCCACCCAGGCACCCCAATCATAACTTTTTTTAAATGTGTGAATGGGTAAGTAAAATGGGCTGGAAATGGAGAAAAAATTGTTTCCTTTTTTATGATAATAGAAAATACATTAGTTTGTTTGCTAATAGGACAAAAATTGAGAATGGGAAGAATTGGTCATAGAAGGGACAATTGGTAGATAATTATCCCTTTGCAGCTAAAAGAAGGTAGAATTAAATGTATAAAGGGAAGAGGCCTTAGATCATGACACAGAAACCTGAGACAGAGTGCAGTGCATTTGTTGAGAGTGAGAATTTCCAAGGAGAAGAAAAGGTATCAGTTATCCAGGAGAGGAGAAAAAATGATGGACTTTGGACAGCATTAAAGGCTCCTGTGATGTTTAAAGTGAGACATATCAGCACATTCTCTAACCACATTCACCTGCAGAGATGCAAGTTTAGAGTAGGTAGAACATTTAATTTAACAAGGATTGGAGTTTTGTCAGATAATTACGAGAAAATGAAGATGTGGTGAGAGATGAGGGTATATGTAATGATTTTTATAATGATAGATTATGAAATTTAAGCCAGCTTAGGAAGGCATCAAGGACAAAAAGACAATGAAATGTTTTTAAGAACATTTGATTGTGGTCCCAAAATACAGTTGGAGTGAAAGCACTAAATAATTAGTGGGGTGCTGGAGCCTGAGATTTTATGGAATGTAGTAACAGAAAGATCTAGATCCTGGATGTGCTTTTGAGAGGAAAAGGAGCAGGCACTATGGAGAAATCACAGAGATGAGAACCTCAGGTTATTGCAAGAGTTGTAACAGGAGTATTGAAGGAGATAAAAGTAAGCCAGAATCCAAAAGACACTGATGCCACATTCAGAAAATGACTAGAAAAAAAATGAGATATTGAGGATACAGCCATATGACATGGCGTTTACACCTGGGATGAGGGGATGGGAATTAAAGACAGAAAATGGTTGGAAATACCAATGGGCATCAAAAGTGAAATTTCCCTATTTCAAAAGGAGTGATATAAAACATATTAAAGAACTTACTCAAGGGATGCAGCATCCTCAGAGGAGACCTAGATTTCAACCATTTAGATTACTCAGAAGGAACTGATCAGACAAGAGCTAAATGTGGGTCTAGGAAATTGTTCTGAAGACTGACCATACTGTGGGGCTCAGAGGAAGGGTTTTGATATTTGGGTAGGGGTGAGAAAGAGGGCTAAAACAGGAGGAGAGTGTTGGCCAAGGGTGATTATGACCAAAGTTATGGATTTTTCTCAATGACTGACTGAAAAAGCAATTGAGATGAATCCTTACAGCATCAAGGCAATAGCAGTGAGGTAATATGTCCATTATATGTACAATATAATCCCAAATATTTTTAAAACAAATACAACATGTCTGCATTTGCAAAGGCAAAATATGGAACAATATATTATAATCTTCTGTGAATTGTTTTTAAGAGGGAAACATAATGTTGGATTTCTATAGTATATGTTTGGTTATTTTCTAAATTTTTATAAGCATTCACTACTTCTACAATCAAAATTTATAAAACTATAATAGGAGCACATAACATCAAAGTATGTACACAGTGATGCCAGTTATGGTTTTAAAAATGTGGGAGAATTGGGGCACCTGGGTGGCTCAGTCGGTTAAGCATCTGTCACTTGATTTCTGCTCAGGTCGTGATCTCACGGTTCGTGGGTCTGAGACCCACGTTGGGCTCTGTGCTGGCAGCTCAGAGTCTGGAGCCTGCTTCAGATTCTCAACCTCTCTGACTTATTTATATTCTAGACTATCACTGTCCAATAGAGATAAAAGTGAGCCATATAATTTTAAATTTTCTAGTAGTATTAAAAAGACACTAGTAAAATTAGTATTAATAATATTTTTATTATTTTAATAATATTTTTAACATCATAGATCCAAAATATCATAGTTTCAACATGTCATCAATATAAATACTATTGGAGTGCCTGGGTGGCTCAGTTGATTAACCATCCGACTCTTGATTTCAGTTCAGATCATAATCTCATGATTAGTGAGGTCAACCCTGCCTCGAGCTCTATGATGACAGTGCGGATGGTGCCTGCTTGGGATTCTCTCTCTCTCTCTCTCTCTCTCTCTCCCTCTTTGTCCTCCCCTACTTGCATGCACACGCTCTCTCTCTGTCTCTCAAAATAAATAAATATTTAAATATAAATATATATAAATACAATTAATGAGTTATTTTACAGTTTTTGTGCCATCTTCTATGAAATTTGGTGTATGTTATCCTTACAGCATGTTTCCATTTGGATGATAAGTTTTCATCAGATATATTTGATCTGTATTTAAAGTTGCTAAATGTATAGTTTAAAAAAATACATTTTTATACACAAGTTGTCCTAAACATATGTTCAATGGTTTCAAATAACTGAATCAATTTCTAAAAATTATGTTAGAAATCTTTTTATCTAAATTAATAATCTTTTTATCTAAATTAATAAAACTGGTTCATCTTTTATAGAATAATTTTTTTTTTCCGTTTTGGAGCAAAAGCATACTGGTTCCAAAACTATGTCTGTCCAAGTTAAATATATTTATTAACTCTTATGTCAATTCAGCATTCATGTTCTTCAAATTTTTCTTTTCTATTTTGAGAAGAGTTTACATAATGTTGTCAATTACAATTAAAATCTGCATATTGGTTCATGTTGGAAAATGTTCAATAATTACTATTGGCTTGTATTTTGAAGTTTTCATTTCAGCATAAATTCATGTACCTGTTTGGCTAGATCACAAATAAGCTTTTCTTTGATGCTGCAAGTTTTGTTTGCTTATATGGAATGTTACATCAATGAAATATGTAAATCACACTGCCATTTTTGTCTTATTGAATATTTGGCAAGCATCCTTTTTGTTTCAAAAAAAAATTGAATTAACAATACAGTAATCTTTAAGTCATTTGTCCACAACTCAACAAGGGGAATTGGCAAAGAACACAATATCAGTGAATTCATTCTCTCTCTCAATAGCTTCCATAAACAGGCTGTGATTCATAGTAATTGCATGCATATATTGAATGATTTTAACAACTGCGTACATTATATTTTTAATATAATTGTCTCAAAAACTGGGCACAGACATTTTTAATATATATTACAGAGTGGAATGGAACAATAAAGGAAACATCAGTTTTAATTCCAATCAGTATGGAATTTTGACCTAACATAGGTGGAGAACCATACATCACATAGAAATTAATTTTTCCATAATCTAGCTGAATTTTGTCTTTAACAAAAGAAAAAGTTTGAAAAATAAGCTATAAGGACTATTTTTTACACCACTAAATGACCTTTCTTTGTCAACTTCAATGTCCTGTTAGGAAAAATCCACCCCAAGTATAGATTGGACCACGTGTCTCATATAATGCATGACTTTCAGTCTAAAGAAAACTGTTTGCAATTTTTCAAGTTTTGAATAAGTGTGTTGTGCTTTTTTTTTTTTTTTTGACGTTTTTTACTTTTTCAGAGAGAGAAAGACAGAATGTGAGCATGGGAAGGGCAGAGAGAGAGGGAGACATAGAATCCAAAGCAGGCTCCAGGCTCTGAGCTGTCAGCACCGAGTCCAATGCGGAGCTCCAACCCAGAAACACAAGATCATGACCTGAGCTGAAGTCTGACGCTCAATCGACTAAACCACCCAGGTACCCCTGAAAAAGTACTTTTTGATATTGATAGAAAGGTATTGTATTCTAAGAGTTGTTACTTAGTGACTTCACTGAAGATATTTCACTTTAGAACTGTGTCATTTTGAGTTTTTCCTCATAATTCAGTAATGGAGTTTCTGAAACAAATATTTTTTGTATCCCTGTGTATAAAAATGGTTTTCCTTTTGAGCAAGAATCCAAACCAAATTAGAGTCTGCCAAATTTACAAGTTTAAAACTTTTAAACTTGTAAGTTTACAATTAACTGAATAAATAAAAATAAAGAAATATTGATTCTTTTCATTTTAATTTTCTTACTGGAGATTACTGGAAAACAGTACCCACACTGTTTATTTCCAATTTGACTATATTTAGAATTGCCAAATATATTTATTTAATGTACCTTGTTCTTCATTACCATGTTTGGATTTAGATTCATCACCCTATTTTATGTTTTCTCACTAATCTTCTTTTTAAAAACCAATTTTAAAAAATCCTACCTCTACTGCTTTAAATTTGACAAATTTTCTGTACTCTCAATTTATCTTTTTAATTATTTGAAAGAAATATCCTCAGTTCTATCCTTATTGTAGTTGTCCATAAAACTTCAATGTCATATATCTCCAAGGATATATCACAACATCTTTACTTTCCTTCTAAAAATTACAAAAATGTTAAAATACTTAAAGGGTATTAATTCCACTTTCCAGTCTTGATATTAATGGCCAATATTTTAAATTCACCTTACGTTAGTGCCTCCCAAGGTAGTCATCAGGATGTTTTTATTTGTTTTTTTAATAAATTCTACACTGCTTTAGAAAGCAACTATTAAAAATAGTTTTTAAATGTTTCTTAGACATTTAACTCCACGTTCTGACAACTAATAGTGTTGACACTTTTTTGACTGTTGATAGAAAATGTACTTGCTGAAAATGGTTCCTAAAATTGTCCATTATATTCTATATAATTTTTAACACAATTAACAAATAAATTGTTGTGCTGCTCTCATGAAGCATACCGCAATTGCTGTTCATCATAAATTTTTGACAAACCTGCAACTCTCTTTTTTCCCATTATTTTAGACATAGTGAAAACTTCCACAACTCCATTTCATTCTGGACAGTAGTACGTTTTCATTTTAAATTTAAAATAGACCCATACTTATTTGTAAACTAAAAATGTTTTTTTTTTTTAGTTTTTTTAATGTTTTATTTATTTATTTATTTTTTAAATTTTTTTTTTCAACGTTTATTTATTTTTGGGACAGAGAGAGACAGAGCATGAACGGGCGAGGGGCAGAGAGAGAGGGAGACACAGAATTGGAAACAGGCTCCAGGCTCTGAGCCATCAGCCCAGAGCCCGACGCGGGGCTCGAACTCACGGAGCGCGAGATCGTGACCTGGCTGAAGTCGGACGCTTAACCGACTGCGCCACCCAGGCGCCCCATTAATGTTTTATTTTTGAGAGAGAGAGAGAAACAGAGTGTGAGTGGGGGTGGTACATACAGAGAGAGAGAGAGACTGAGAGAGAGACACAGAATCTGAAGCCGGCTCCAGGCTCCGAGCTGTCAGCACTGAGCCCGACGCTGGGCTCGTACTCACAGACCATGAGATCATGACCTTAGCCCAAGTTGGACACTTAATGGACTGAGCCACCCAGGTGCCCCTGTAAACTAAAAATGTTTTAATTGTACTGTAATCAAAACTTTCACAAGAATTCAATTATCAGTTACATACGCATTACTGTACCTCATGCTGCCCATATAAAATATTCAAGTAAACTCATTACAATATTACACCAGTATAAAGGAAATGTGGTCTTACCAAAACTATAACATTGTGTGTATTTTTAAAAACATTTTATACTGCTTCAGTGTCTAAATTTTAAAGTATGGTACAAACCTCATTTCAAGTGCTCCATAGCTACATGTGGCTTAATGGGCACTAAGAGTGCATGCAGTTCTAGGCAGATGAAAAAACATTTCCTTGACCATTGTGTAAACTTTATTATTAAACTAAGCCCTTCTCTGGATTCCATTTCTCTTTCAGTACATTTGGGGTCATAATATGCTTCAAATTTCACAAGAATATTACAGAGCCCTAGGGAAGATGGCACATTGGGAGTGCTAATCAATAATAATGTTAGTTATCTTTTTAAATCTCCAAAGAATTAGAAATTCTTTAGATGATTTTTCATGTCCATGATAGTGATATGATCCACTCAGAATTATAAAATTTATAGTAAATACATCTAAGTATTTTACATGGGATCAATTTGAAAATACAAAATATAATCCCTCAAACAAATAGGTTCTATTATTATAATTATTAATATTATTGAAAAGTTAAATACAATATTTTTTTCTCTAATGGACATTCAAAGAAATTGCAACTGCTAAGAGAGATGAAGGCTAATTTAAATTTTAGTAATTAATAAGAATATCAAGTACCATATACTATGATTCCACTTATATTACAGATTTCAATAGCCTTCTTTCTATTATGAATAATACGGTATGGTCTCAATCTTTAAAAAATCATTTCCAATGTATTACATATATCTATTACATGTTATACTTTTTGTTTGACTAAGGAGTAGTTATACTTTAATTCATTTTCATAGTCTAAAGTACTGCAATTAACACTTCTTTACTGAAAGATTCTAATACTTCTGTGTTACCTTTTCAAACACTTCTCACTTTGTAGTGTAAGCCTGGCACAAATCCCAGAATGTGATTCTGACACACCATTTCCTCACTGTGGGAACAAGCTTTAGGGAACTCATTTTCTATAAGCAACGAAAATAGCTCTATGCCCATCCCTCTCTACCTCCTATCTAGAACCAAATAGTTATTCAAATATTTATTATCAAGGCATTTACTAGGGGCAAGATACTATATAATGTTAAGAAAAGAATGAAGAAAATATGCTGAAAGGGTTTAGACTTTCAGGCGTTTGGCATCTCAAGGATGAATTGGAAATTGGAAATAAACTGAAAGGATCTATGTATCAATGTAATCAAAGAACATATGCCAGAGGCATAGGAAAGCAAAGAAAGAACAAGTGGTTCACAGAGCAAGCAGGGGTGTTGCTATATCGTTAACAGAGATGAGCTTACCTGATGGATAGGATATTAAAATAGATGAGTGTGGATTTTGGATGTTCTAAATGACCCAAGGAGCATTGAGCAAGGTCTAAGAGACAGAACATACTGAGTATATTTGAGAGATTGTAAGAGAAAAAGATTACATGGAATTGAAATGCATTATGGTTGTAATACATTGTGAAAATAGTAGGTGATGAAAAAGAGATTCATACGGACAAAATAGTGGAAGGCTGAAGAGTTTGGATTTTGCTCCAGGAACAACAAGCAGCCTTGACCTGAGTGGAAATGGTTATAATGAAAAATGCAGATTTAATTGACAAAAGAGGAACTGTTAAGGAGTACTGTAACTGATATTTTGAATATGGTTCTCAGGCCATTTTTATCCTAAGCATCAAAAATGCTTAAGTTCTGTTACCAACTATAATTATTAAAGTACAAAGTGGATGCATAAATGTGAAGGAGGAGGAGGAGGAAAAGGAACAGAAGGAGGAGGAGGAGGGGGAGAGGGGGAAGGGGAAGAGGAGGAAGGAGAAGAGAAGGAAAAGAAGAAGGAAGAGGAGGAGGAGGAGGAGGAGGAGGGGGAGGAGGGGGAGGAAGAAAGGAAGAAGGAGAAGAAGAAAGAGGAGGAGAATTATTTCAAGAAAATAAGAATAAAGGTAGGAATGATACTGTTCATTCAGGGTTACTGTGTGCCAGATGCTTACCATATATCGTCCCTCTTTGATGAGGGAATGTTTTCACAGTGATTGACTAACTTGCCAAAGCTGTGCAGTTAGTGACAGAGCCTGGATCTGAGTGTGTCTGGGACCAAGACTGTGGAATACATGATCTTTATCCCTGAGTGTTAAAGTGGTATTTTCGTTTTTCAACGTGGAGAGAAACACATACTTAGACCAGAAACACAATACAGTTCTATTTCTTTTTCTGGAAAGAATTTAACAGCACAGAGAGTTTAGATGATGTTCCAGATGTTGTCATTTCCTTAGGAAATGACTTCTATAAAATGGACACTCGATGTTGTGCAAATGAATGGAAGAATGAGCCTAGTTCCACCTTCATTCTAATTTTTTCAGCATCTCACATTTCATGATTTTAAATAATATAAAAAATAAATGGTGGCTTACATGGCTCTTATTATACATACACAGGATCAATTAATGTGATGTGACAATCAATTAATTACATATTAATATAACTATATAGTTATTACAGGTGTTTGGAATCCTGTGAACAAAAACGTGATGAAAGAAGTCTGGTACTAAGTGATTAAGTGAGGAACAGTTTAGATTAGATTTACCTATAATTTTGTATTGAAGAACATTATATGCAAGAATTTGGAAGAATTCTAGGAAACATAAACTTTAACTCTTTTGCTTTATAGATGTATGAGAGGGGATTAATAGAGGCTAAATTACTTGCTGATGATCCTATAGTATGTTAATGTGAGAACCACATCCAGTCTCTTGCACAAGAAATTCAACAATTCACTAGTTCTTTCTGTGGCGTTGGAGGACAGGCAGAGGAAGAGGCAGTGGTAGGTGGGAAGGGACTGGAGAAGCCAATGCAATTTGACATTAAACTATAACAGAAAACAAATTGAGGAAAACAGAAGAAGACAATGAAAGAGCTTTAAAGAACTTTGTTTTTTCTTTTCCTTTTTTTTTTTTTTTTTAACGTTTATCTATTTTTGAGACAGAGAGAGACAGAGCATGAACGGGGGAGGGTCAGAGAGAGAGGGAGACACAGAATCTGAAACAGGCTCCAGGATCTGGGCGGTCAGCACAGAGCCCGACGCGGGGCTCGAACTCACGGACCGTGAGATCATGACCTGAGCCAAAGTCGGACGCTTAACCGACCCAGGCGCCCCCCCCCCTTTTTTTTAAGACTCTATTTGACAAAATATTTACATGGTTTGTTTCAGATTAGGAGAAAAAGAATGAGGGAGAGGAAAAGGAAGAGAGAGGATATAAGCAGAGAAGGTGAAGGGGAGGATACTAAAAAGAAGACAGGAAAGAGAAAAACAGGAAAGAGAAAAAAATAATTTTATTATTTCAATAAAATTCAGTAACTTGAATATTGATTTTTGAAGAAGGATCGTCAACCCAGCTGGCATAGACTCAAAACTTAGCAGGCAGCACACAAAGGAGGAAAAGACAGGGAAAGGGAGAATCTGGTCCCAGCTCCATTCCACTCTCATGAAATGTTCTCCCTTCTTCCTTTCTTGAACCCCCCAGGCACCCAACTCTCCATCTTTTCCCTTAGTGATTAATTTTCTTCATCCACGTTAAGCTAAAAATAGGCAAAATGTCATTTTAAAAGTTAATAAAATGAATTTTATAACCATTTATAAATTAAAGAGTAGCATACTTAAGAAAAAAATTCCTTCTTTAACCTACTGGTTTATCCTTTCAAATCTTCTTTAAAGCGACTGAAGATCAAAAGCACTCAAAACTAAGGCTGAACAACTATTACTACTGCAAATATTGTAAATGGACGGGGAAAATCTATCAACGGTTTTCTTTATGATGTATCCTGTCTTTACTTAAGGGACAAATGTCTCTTGTCAGAAAAGCTTTCTCAAACCACCCTATCAAGAACAGGGGTCAGCAAACGATGCACCAGGGGCCAAATCTGATCTGCTACACGTTTTAATAAAGTTTTATTGGAACACAGATGAACCCATTTATTTACATATTGTCTGTGGCTACTTTCATGCTACTGTGCATTGGAGGGCTATAGGGAAAAATGGTTATTAAGGTTTTAATATTATTGTGAAATTAATCTCAAGATATGTCATACCACTTTACATCAACTGATTTGCTGCATCAGCTCCTTTACCAGCCCCAACTCAGAGCTTAGTAATAAGCATTTGAGCTCACACAAAGGACAGATTGTTAGGTCAGCTTCAAATGATCAGAGACCTTGCCTACTACCAAAGTTTACCCAAATATTTACAAACTACACTTTATCAAGGGCATAAACAAAGTAGAAAGAAAATTTGGACATTCTAGAATGTACCTACGCTCTTCTTTTCTGCACCCCAATATATTATCTCTGTTATAGAATAACCTAGGAGGTTTGCAAGAGACATTTTTTAAGGTACCATATCTACATGTCAGACTTGCAGGAAGTCAAACCACTGCTCTCTAGTAACAATCCGTACACAGTGAGGAGCATTTTAAGTTACAAAATATCACTGTCTTATATCCAGGAAATTGTATAGCTTATTTGGCATTCTTTAGTGAGTCTTGCATTATAATTTCATAGATTATTTACAGTAAGTAGTGATTAAACACAGATAGTTTTGCTAAAGGCATTCCACAAATGAGGAGTATTCTTCATATCAAATGCCATTTATCTACTTAAAGGAAATTCCATTACATAAGGAGATAGGATTGAGTCACCTGACTTACTTTCTCCCCAGGCTTGGAAGGAGGTCTTCCCCAAGAAGGATAAATGGATCACGAATCTCAGGCAAGTTACTTTACATTCTTTCCCCCAGGCACTTAAAAGGAATACTTGGTGAATGAATGTATAAAAGGATGATAAGCAGAGTCTTTATAAATACCCTCTAAGTTTGTCCCAGTTCTGAGACCCAAAGTATAGATCAACTAGAAAAACAAACAGATGTTGCACTAATGTATTTTGATATAATTTTATATGGCTAGAGCATATCTACTACCACACATATACATACAGAAAGCTACCAGTGGAGGAGGAATGATAAGAATGGAAGCATGCAAGAAGAAAGCTTCTCTTATTAAAGAAAAATAGAAAAATAAAAAGTGTGGAGTCAGAAATGTGCCGGATCCTGGGCAGCTAGGTTCTCCAACACAGTGTGCAGAGAAAGGAAGAGATGTTCTAGAAATGCCTGTAATAGTGGTTTTCATGTATTTCAATTTTGAGACATGTCAAATAACTATAAATCTTGATATAAATATTTCATGTTCAAAAGTATTAAAAAAGATTTCTAAATGGTTCTGTAAATACCCTGTAAAACATATGAAAGAAAAAAACATCAATCTAAAAACTGAGTGCCACTGAGAAATATTTCTTGGTGATGCTGATTTTTTTTTCTTTTAATTAATGGGAGGAAACTAAAAAAATACAAAAGTAGAATTAAAATTCCAGAGGGAGAAGTCAGGAACACAAATGATAAGAGAGAATAACAGATGTGAAAAAACTACTCAAAATAATATCCCAGAGCTCAGAGAAGAAAAAAATAATGGTGCAATGAAATAAAAGATACTAAAAACAGAGAATGAAAATCCAACCTATAATTAATGAGTGGTCACACACACACACACAAAAGATAACACAACAGATTACATAAAGCAATTTTCAAAGTTAGAGAAGACAGATTTAAAGAGTTTATGTGTACATATTGAAAAAGCATATCTAAAAACACTTGCTGGCAACATTTTAAAATTAAAATGACGAACAAAAATTCCTTAAGAATCCAAGCAGAGAAAAATTGATCCAAAAAATGTCAAATATCAGTAATCTATTTTTTTAATTTTTTTTTAACATTTATTTATTTTAGAGACAGAGTGTGAGTGGGGGGAGCAGCAGAGAGAGAGGGAGACAGAGATCTGAAGCAGGCTCCAAGCTCTGAGCTGTCAGCACAGAGCCCAACATGAGGTTTGAACTCATGAGCCCTGAGATCATGACATGAGCTGAAGTCGAAGGTTTAACCAACTGAGCCATCCAGGTGCCCCTAAATATCAGAGTAATCTAAATTATGAATTACCAAGAAATGTATCCAGAAATTTCTAAGAGTAGTGGAAGGACCAAACAAAAAATTATTGCCTTAAAAATATGGGATACAAATTGTTTAAAACAGTGAAACTATAGGAAAATCTATTCAATTAATTTATAATTCTATAAAAAAAACTATCAAGACTGTATAAGAAAAGGTTAGACAGATCATGCTGATAGACTGAATATACAATGATCATGTATAAACATGAACTCTAACCTATAACCTGCAACTAGCAGCCCAAGAAATCAACTCATGATCTGTAGTAACCATCCAAGGAAGCACACCTTCTATTACTATGTTAGGTTTGTAGAAAGTCAGACCATCATCTCTAGTAATGGTGCAGGAAGTCAAACAATAATACCTGAAACCATTCACCCAAAATGGCCAGGACATGATGAAATAAGTAACAGCTTCACTAAATTTTGTCCCTGCTTCCACTTCCAACTTAGAACCTCTCAGAGAAAGCCAAATGTGCACTATACCAACCAAGTAGGATGACCCTCTTCTAGTAAGTTTGCCCACAGCTTTGCTATGCCAACTGTTTCCATTTAGGGCATACCTGAATCCTCTTGTTTTTTCCTATAAAACTTTCCTATTATCCTGCCTGCTTTTAAATTTCTGCCAAATACAAGTAATGGTGGCTGACTCCCTTGCTATAACAAGCTTTGAATAAATAGCCTTTACTTGTTCTCATTTGGTTGGTCCTCATTTATTTCTACTTTTGAATATAGATGTATAATGATAGTCAGTTTTAGAAAACTGAATGTGGTAGGGTATAATCACAACATATGATGACCAAGTAGCATTTATTGATAGCACAAGGGTCATTTAGTATCAAGCTAAACCAAAGAGCATATGTGTGGAATACACATATACAGAATTGCTACAAAGGGGCGCCTGGGTGGCATCATCAATTAAGCATCCAACTTCGGCTCAGGTCATAATCTCACAGTTTGTGAGTTCGAGCCCCACATCTGACAGTGCAGAGCCTGCCTAGGATTCTCTCTCTCGCTCTTTTTGCCCTCCCCCACTCTCTCTCAAAGTAAATAAATAAACTTAAAAAAAAAAAAAAAAAAGATGTGTTCTCATGTCTATCCCTCTCAATTTAAGGAGAAAAGCATTAATGAGAGCAAACTTTTTCTATTACTTTTCAGATGATCTTTTTTTTTTTTAATGTAGTGATTTTTGAGTCCTTCTGCCTTTTGAAAATCTAGTCTGATCTATATAATATTTGGCAAAATTTTTTTGGCCCTTCAGGAATGACACATGTTTTTCCTCATTTTAAAATTCTATTGGTATCTCAATACAATCTGGGAGAGAGATATGGTTGGATAACCATTGCTTATGCATTTGCCCCATAAGTTTGATGCAATTTTATTTTCAAAGTACAAAACACTGGCTAAAGACTTCTTTTGAAAAAATTTTGAAAGTAGGCACTGTGATAATTAAGAAAATATAAATAACTGCCAATACACTGAAAAGTTAAGAACAACTAAATCATAGTCCAAAAAAAAAAGGAAAGAGTGAAAAGAAACTACAATGAGGTATAAAGTTTAGAAAACAAGCTAAGAGACAGAAAATTAAACATGTAAATTCTATCAATAAATAAAAATCAGTTGAGCTCCTCAGTTTGACTTAATTCCATAAATATTTATTGAATAATTAATACGTGCCAGGTACCACTAAGCCCTGAAGAGTTAGTGGTAAACAAGATTAACGCAGGACCTCTACTCCTGAAGTTTAGTATACTGGAGAGAGTATTAAACAAGAAATGACAAAAGTGATGTGTGTCATCAAAAGAGAAGTTCAGGATGAATAAAACACTTGTCAAGTGTTTTCTAAAGTACTATCATGGTGAAGGCCATGAACACATTATCACATACATTAACTTTTTCTTCATCATCACTGATAAGCTATACATCAGCCAGCATCACATTTCATACTGAAATACTAGAAAGAAGCACTGTTAACATAAGAAATAAGACAAGGATGACTGCTGTCATCAATAACAGTTTTATACATGTTCTCACCAAGATAAAAGGTACAAAGAACAATTCAAACTTATGGGAAAGAAGCAAACTGATGAAATGTTACTTATTTCAAAGAACTAAAAGAAGATGAAGACTTTCAAAAGCATTAATTCAATATCAACACTATTTTAGGGCATGCACTCTATGCCAAGGACTAGGTTAAAAAAATAATAGCACAAGAAGTTTTCAGTATAGTAAGTGAAAACAGATAAGAAACAATTACTTTACAATGTGGTTAAGAGCAGTACAAAGAACTAACACAGTTTTATGATAATAGGGAAGCCAACTAACCCTTATGTAAGTGCATCAGGAAAAGGCTTTCCAGAAGACGTCAAGACAAAACAGAGCCCTGTAGGATAAAACTGCATGTATGGGAAGATCTTTCTGAACAGCAGAATTTTCTCTTTAAGAGTGTAGGATGTGAGGCCAGGGAAATAAAAGCAAAATAAACTGTTGGGACTATATCAAAATAAAAAGTTTATGCACAGCAAAAAAACAATCAACAAAACTAAAAGGCAACCTACTGAATGGGAAAAGATATTTGCAAATGACATTTCTGATAAAGGGTTGATATCCACAATACATAAAGAACTGATACAACTCAAAACCCAAAAAGCAAATAATTCAATTGAAAACTCAGCAGAAAACACGAATAGACATTTCTCCAAAGAAGGCATGTAAATGGCCAACAGACACATGAAAATGTTGCTCATCAGCAGAGAATTCCAAATCAAAACTACAATGAGATATCACCTTATCTGTCAGAATGACTAAAATAGAAAACACAAGAAACAACAATTGTTGGCAAGGATGTGGAGAAAAAGGAATCCTCCTGCACTGTTGGTAGGAATGTAAACTGGCACAACCATTGTAGAAAACAGTATGT